TACCTCCTGCTTTCTTTTTTCTCCTCTGCCTTTACTTCTTTAGAAAATTTACCAGTTTTTAGCCAATCGGGTCAAGCATAGAATGTGAGGTCAGTTCCAGCCAATGGAAACTGGACACAGCAGTAGGGCGATTGCGTCAGGTTATGAAAGTTATAAATGTCCCTGTCTCCTTTGTTCAGGTGTGCATGCATAGCAAGACTGCCAGCGAGCAGCACCCTTCCTGCAGGAAGTAAACCAGCCGCGCTGAGTGACCCATTGTCTCGGTGTGGATTTTCCCTGACATTATAAACCCTGGTTCTCTCTCTCTCTCTCTCTCTCTCTCTCTCTCTCTCTCTCTCTTTCTTTCTTTTTTTTGAGATGGAGTATCACTGTCGCCCAGACTGGAGTGCAGTGGTGCAATCTTGGCTCACTGCGACCTCTGTCTCCTGGGTCAAAAGATTCAACAGAAAGAGACTCTGTCTCCAGAAAAAAAAAAAAAACAGAAGAAGAAAAGAAAAAAAGAAATTGGTCCAGACCTTAAATTTGCTTTTTAGCTACCAATCTTCTTTCAGATAAAGGATTGTTCATTGCTCACTGACTAGTTATTGAAAGGACATTTATGATTTTTGAAGTCCAGGTTCAAGTTGGTGTTGCTAGAGGAGCACACAGCAACCCCCAGGTATGGATTTTGAGGGTTTTTTGTTTTATCACGCCACCACACCCAGCGAATTTTTGTATTTTTAGTAGAGTCGGGGTTTCACCATGTTAGCCAGACTGGTCTTGAACTCCTAACCTCAAGTGATTTGCCCACCTTGGCTTCCCAAAGTGCTGGGATTACAGGGGTGAGCCACCATACCTGGCCAGGACCCAGGTTTCTAACCTCACCCAGCTAAGCACGATCTGGGCTCACTGCAACCTTCACCTCCTGGGTTCAAGCGATTCTCCTGCCTCAGCCTCTGAGTAGCTGGAACTACAGGCATGCGCCACCACACCCAGCTAATTTTTGTATTTTTAATAGAGATGGGGTTTTGCCATGTTGGCCAGGCTGATCTCAAACTCCTGACCTCAAGTGATCCACCCTCCTCAGCCTCCCATCTACCAATGCCTGGCTTTTGTAGACTAGGAGGGCAACAGAGAGGCAGAAAATGTGTCTGGGGAGAACCAGGGACTTTGTCAGGATTACCCTAGGCGTCAGTCTAGCTTCCTGCCCCTGGCTTGGGCTCAATATCTGAAGTAGTCTGAGGGGGCAGGTGGTCCCGGTGTGGGTTGTGGCTTTTTCCCAGACTGAGGTAATATACCTAGAGCCAGAAACTTGGCGCCTGCTTCGGGCTAAGGATGCACCTGGTCCCCAGGGACAGGCAACTGCCCACCTTACCTGGTGTTGGAAACATGTTCAGTACTGCAAAGAAAAATGAGCACTGAGACAAAGGATTTTTTTAGCAACACAATTTTTGCTTCCTGGACAGCAGGAAGGGTATTCTCACTAGCCATCTTGCTGTGAGAGTACAATGAACAAAGGAAAACAGACACATTTATCCCTTAAGCATTTGGGGTCTTCTTACTGCTGTGTCTGGTCTCCGCTGGCTAGAGCCAGACCTCACAATCTAAACTGAAACCCGATTGGCTAACAACTTAAAACTTTTCTAAACAGAAAAAAGCAGTGGAGAGCTGGGGCATGCCTGTGAGCACGTGCAGCACAGATAGCTTGGTTAAAGTACAAGGACATAGAATGTATTATGTGCCTGTAAGCATGGCATGTCTAACAGCTACACAGGATAGGGCTCAACAAAGTTATTACCACACTTATTCTTTAACAAGAAAGGAAACATTAAAAAGGAACTTTCCTGCTTCCCACAGCTGCTCCATTTCCCATTTCCCCAGGGGGAGTTGCCTGCCCTAGCCAAGAGGCTTGACTTACAACCACATCCTTGATTGCAGCGTAACCCCATTGCCTGTGGGTGGAGAAGATGGTGCTAGGACTGTACAATCTGGCCTCATTTCTTTTCAGTTTCAAAATCCAAAAGCTGTTAAAAGCAAAGCATCAGAGAAATCAGCCCCAGGAAGACATGCACAGAGTCAGTGGGTACGTACTGATGTACTGTGTGCCTCTGACAGCGTGTGTCAGAGGTATTTGAACCAGAGAGACTCCATCTTGAATACAGCTGGGTAAAATAAGGCTGAGACCTACTGGGCTGCTTTCCGAGAGGTTTAAGGCATTCTTAGTCACGGATGAGACAGGAGGTCAGTGCAAGGTACAGGTCACAAAGACCTTGCTGATAAAAGAATGAGGTAAAGAATGTGGTAAAGAAGCTAGCCAAAATCCACCAAAACCAAGATGGCGATGAAAGTGACCTCTGGTCGTCCTCACGGCTCATTATACGCTGATTATAATGCATTAGTATGCTAAGAGACACTCCCACTAGTGCGATGACAGTTTACAAATGCCATGGCAATGTCAGGAAGTTACCCTATATGGTCTATAAAGGGGAGGAACTCTCAGTTCCGGGAATTGCCCACCCTTTTTCCCGAAAAGTCATGAATAATCCACCTCTATTTAGCAGATGATCAAGAAATAACCATAAAATTGGGCAACCAGCAGCCCTGTGAGCTGCTCTGCCTATGGAATAGCCATTCCTTCTTTATTCCTTTACTTTCTCAGTAAACTTGTTTTCATTTCATTCTATGGACTTGCCCCAAGTTCGTTCTTGCGCGAGGCCAGGAACCCTCTCTTGGGTTCTGGATCAGGACTGCTTTCTGGTAACACACACGTGTACAGCTGGTGAGAATGAGCTGAGATGGGACAGCTGCCACACTGTCAGGCACATGATGGCTGCTGACCTCTAGTTGAGGGGCCTCTGAGGGACCCTCTGGAGGGAGTACTTTTGTCTTGCGGACTACCACGCAGTCAATGAGCTGATTCCTGCCAACTGCCTGTGAACCCGTCAATAATCACTGTAATCTCTCTAGCAGCCCCCAGAATAGATTTGCAGCAGCATGGTGAAAACGAGGCTGCTTGATCAATGCATCCCTGGACGAGCTCCTCCAGGAGACACAAACACATATTGTAACAAAACTTTATTTTCTTCTGAAAATTGCCTACATGATTAATACGGCCCGACATGGCCCAAGCTGCTCGGCATAAGAAACAGCCGTATTTCTTGCTCCCTCTTCAGCTCTGCTCCTCTCTCTCTCTGTGGCTTCATCTGTTTTCTTTATTCTGCTCCCTATCCTGTTGTGCTATATATCGTACCATCTCCCACAAGGAGAAGGATGCATTAAAGTGCGCATACCTCGGGACCCCATTACACTGTTTCTCTTTGCTGTTTTACTTCCTGGACTGTAGGAAGGGTACTCTCACTAGCCATCTTGCCATGAGTGTACAACGAACAAAGGAAAACACACAAATTTATCCCTTATGCATTTGGGGTCATTCTTACTGCTGTGTCTGATCTCCTTTGGCTGGAGCCAGACCTCACAATCTAAACTAAAACCCCGATTGGCTAACAACTTAAAACTTTTCTAAACAGGTAAAAGCCGTGAGAGCTGGGGCATGCCTGTGAGCACATATGGCTTAGGTGTAAGCATAAAATCAGATTCCCCAGTGCTGCCTGGACAGACTCTTGGTGCACCTGTGACTGATAAAAGCAGAACACGTTCCCCGGGTACTAAATATCTCATATATCACCTGGAGCCTCGGAGAAGGCAAAGCTCCATGCTCTGGAGTCCAGCCTGGATGAGAGGAATTCCTCCCTTTAATCTCTGCGCTCGGGCATGTGAGGGACTGCTGGCTCTTATGAGGGAGGGATATCAGCAGGTCATCCTGTCTCCTGTTTCCAGGGAGATTCTAGGACTGCCTGCAGAAGAGCTGGTGTGCCTTAGGCTGCATACTCCTGCAGGTACAGGGTCCTTTTCCTTTACTATGTTTATTGGCATCGGTGTTTTATTTCCTCTCCTAGAATGTTAGCTCTGTGACAGCAGGAACCTCTAGTGTGATATAATACAGAATTCTTAGTGGGCTCACTAGATGTCTTTATTTGGGTTCCCCCAGACACACAACCTGAAGCCAAGGTTTGAGTGTAAGTAGTTTATTTTGGAGGTGAAGACAGCATCACTCAGGGAGTGGGGAGTGAGACTAGGAGGGAAAGGCACCTCCTCCAAAGGGTGCGTTATGAAGACTGCACCTGTGGGTGGTGAGGGCTTAATCCTGCTAGGGGAATTTACATTTAACTTGCTCTAGAGCTGAGGGAGCTGGGTTATTTGTATTAGGTCGATGCAATTACTTTTGAACCAACCAAATACATCAATTCCTGGCGTTCTTTTTTTTTTTTTGGAAACAGTGTCACATTATGTTACTCAGTCTGGAGTGCAGTAGCATTATCATAGCTCATGGCAGCCTCAACCTTCCGGACTCCAGCGATTGTCCCACCTCAGCTTCCTGAGTAGCTGGGGACACAGACATGCACCACTGCACCTGGCTGATTTTAAAATTTTTTGTAGATACAGAATCTTGCTATGTTGCCCAGGCTGGTCTTAAACTCCTGCCCTCAAGCGCTGCTCCCACGTCGGCCTCCCAAACTGCTGAAATTACAGGCGTGAGCCACAGCACCCTATCCCCAGTGGTCTCTAGTTGAGAGATTTAGGGGGTGGAGTAATCACTTAGGCATCTGCAAAGAAGGTTTCAGGCAAGGAAGTGCAGGGGCTGGAGTCAGAAGTTGTGCAGGTGCACCCTGAAGCTCAGGGCACAGGGAGGTGACAGGTAGATACAGGGAGACGTGCCTGGGACTGACGCTGAGCCTTTTCTGTCGGGTGATGAATTTTGGGGAAGTGGGTTTGGATATGTTAATGCTCTCCTCCTCATGGTTCATTCTCAATTCTTAGCCAAGGAAAAGCCCAGAGGAAACCGGTGATTCACGCCTCAGAAGGACTGGATGAAGATCTGGCTGAAATCTTCATTGTATCCAGCTGAGGTGGATGAGCTTTTATCCCTCCTCTGACTCTGTTTCCAATCACTCCTTCCTCAGGTGTAAGGAGCTCAAGTACTCCAAGGACCTGCCCCAGATATCCATCATCTTCATCTTCGTGAACGAGGCCCTGTCTGTGATTCTGCGGTCGGTGCACAGTGCCGTCAATCACACGCCCACACACCTGCTGAAGGAAATCATTCTGGTGGATGACAACAGTGATGAAGGTACAGGGGTGTGACCTGTGCACGGCACATGATGACAGCAGGGGGAATTCCAGCATGAGCCCAAGCACCTGTGCCTCCTGGTCCCCGGAGCGTATCTGGGGAATGGAGTGCAGTGGCCTGATCAGAGCTCATGGCAGCCATGATCTCTTGGGCTCAGGTGATCTTCCCACCTCAGCCTCCCGAGTAGCTGAGAATACAGCCACGCACCACTGCACCTGGCCAATTTTAAAATTAGCTATGTTGCCCAGGCTGGTCTTAAACTCCTGACCTCAAGCGATGTTCCAGTGTCAGCCTCCCAAACTGCTCAAATTACAGGCATGAGCCGTGGCACCCTGTCCCCAGTCGCAGGGGGTGGAGTGATCGCTTAGGCAACCTCAAAGGTTTCAGGCAAGGAAGTGCAGGGGCTGGAGTTGGAAGTTGTGCAGGTGCGCCCTGAAGCTCAGAGCGCAGGGAGGTGTTGCAGGTAGATGCAGGTACACAGATGACTGGGACTGATACTGAGCCTTTACTGTTGGTGGTGAATTGTCTTCCACAGAACTGCTCCCTCATGCCAAAAAGGTTGAGAACCGCTGTGTTTTGGAGGAATGCATCTAGGCACACCCTGGCCTGTTACTCTTTGAATCCTGTAGGGCAGGGGTCCCCAACCCAGGGCCATGGGTCAGTAGCCGTCTGTGGCCTGTTAGGAACTGGCCTGCACAGCAGGAGGTGAGTGGCAGGAGAATGGGGAAGCTTCCTGTGTATTTATATCCGCTCCCCTTTGCTCCATTACTGCCTGAGCTCCCCCTCCTGTCTAATCAGCAGCAGCATTAGCTTCTCGTGGGAGCATGAACCCTATTGTGAACTATGCAGGCACGCAATCTAGGTTGTACCCCCCTTTTTTGAGGCGGAGTCTCACTCTGTCACCTAGTCTGGAGTGCAGTGATGCCATCTCAGCTCACTGCTGTCTCTGCCTCTCAGGTTCAAGTGATTTTCCTGCCTCAGCTTCCCGAGTAGCTGGGACCCCAGGCACACACCAACATGACAGGCTAATTTTTGTATTTTTAGTAGAGACAAGGTTTTGCCGTGTTGGCCAGGCTGGTCTCAAATGCCTGACCTCAGGTGATCCGCCCTCCTCGGCCTCCCAGAGTGCTGGGATTACAAGCGTGAGCCACCGTGCCTGGCTGATTGTACCCTTTCTATGAGAATCAAATGTCTGATGATCTGAGGTGGAACAGTTTCATCCTGAAACCATCTCCCCCGATCCCCAAGTTCCATGGAAAAATTGTCTTCCACAAAACCGCTCCCTGGTGCCACAAAGGTTGAGGACCGTTCGTTGTTCTAGGGTGCGTAAGAATCAGCAACTGCCCATGGATTGAGATGAATTTCCCACTTCGCATGACCTCAGGTGGATGGCAGTGAAGGGCTGCATTCCTCCTTCACTCCCCAGCGCACCCCCATCTACAACAAGCAAATATTGCATGTCAATTGCAAAACTCCTGGGAGGTCCGTGGAGATATTTAATAGTTGGACAAAGGTGTGGCGTCCAGGGCAATGGGGTTGGGTGTTGCTAATGGTGCCTTGGTGTTGATTCCCAGCCTGCAAAATTCACCTTGCTCACTGCAGGGAGTGACCCCCACAAGCTTATGAGATAAAAGAAAACCAGCTACAGTGAGGGCCTGAAGGCCAAGAAAGCTTATCTTCTAAGCAACGACAGGATTAGGAGTAGGCTAAACCCCTTCCTTTCATCATGCTGAGTGGAGAAGGATTACCCTGGAAGGCCCTCCGGTGTCAAGAAGATGGTGAGGAGGCGGCAATGTCACGGATCCTGTTTAAAACCCGATTATCTTCAGGAGCACAGGAATGAGCCTCTCCTATTTAATCAGCCTGGGAGCTGATGTCCCTGCCCCTTCTGAACTGGCCGACTCTTCTGAAGGGCTTGGGTGCACTTGGGCCCAGTGGCATGCCTTCTCTGGGACCTCTGGCTGATAGAGATGGGTCATTTGGTGGATTTTTCACATTTCTAGTTTTATTTCCTTAACTTTGGCCATTATCCATCTACAGATTCTTCTAAACCTGACAATGATTGTCTCCTTGTGAGCAGGAAGCTCTTTGAGTTCCTGGAAGCCTCTAAGTAGTGCAGCAAAGTCTCTTTTCTTGACATGCCCACATCTCCCTTCTCTGTGGCCTTTCTCTACACCTACCACAGATGTCTTGCTCCACCAGTCCTCCCATTCCCCCCTGCAGGGACTCCCTCTATGGTTTCCCCAGGCCAGAAATCTCTGCTCTTGAACTCCCTGTTCCTGCTGCCCCCTTGATCAGCCTTCTAAGTCAGTCCCAACTGTTTCCCAGCTGTGTGCAGCAGAGCACTTCCTCAGAGAAGCCTCCTCTGACCTCTGAGCAGTGAAGATTGTGAAGGGAAGGCATCCCAAAAAGAGTGCTGCTGTGGGTGACAGAGCTTAATCCCACTGGGGAAACTCCAGAAGCCATTGTACACCCAGACCTCAGAGTTAACTTGCTCCAAGTGTGAGGGAGCTGGGGTATTTATACACCTTCAGGATAATGAAGCCCTCGTTCTGTGCCATCTCAGCACCTTGCTACCAACTGTCATTCATTAGCATGCAATGTGTCTGTGTTCTGCCCAGTGGACTCTCTCAACTGGGTGAGACATAGTTTCCCAGGGCCTGGCTGGTGGTCGAAACTCAATAAGTCTTGCAACAAGGGAGTGCATGATGGAGCCAGGTAGGGCTAAGAAAAGGGCAGGTGTGAGCTATTGGCAAAATGTCTGGAGGTGGCCTGGGGCTAGAATACCCAGAGAAGAGCATGAACTGCAGATCGGGCTGGTTTGGGGTGAAGACTTGCTGCCATTGGTGCCCTCACTCCTGAGGAAGTCTAGGTAGAGCCCAGCCGAGGAGGAGGAAGGGAAGGTTAAGGCAACCTCAGCCATAACTCCAGCTCCTTGACTGCAGGGACCTCCAGTGCAGGGTTAGACACTTAGTGGGTTCAGTAGGTGTATTAGTCTGTTTGCTGTTGCTATAAAGGAATTCCTGAGGCTGGATGATTGATTGACTGATTGATTGATTGATTGATTGATTTTGAGAGAGGATCTCACTCTGTCATCCAGGCTGGAGTGCAGTGGTGCAATCATGGCTTGTTGTAACCTCCATCTCCTGGGCTCAGGTGATCTTCCTGCCTCAGCCTCCTGAGATGCTGGGACCACAGGCATGTGCCATCATGCCCAGCTAATAATTTATATTTTTTATGTAGAGATAGAGTTTTGCCATGTTTCCTAGGTTAGTCTAAAACTCCTGGGCTCAAAGGGTCCTCCTGCCTCAGCCTCCCAATGTGCTGGGATTACAAGTGTGTCACTGTGCCTGGCCTTGGGTGATTTATTTAAAAAGGAGGCTTTATTTGTCTCACAGTTCTGCAGAATATACACGAACCATGGCGCTAGCATCTGCTTGGTTTCTGGTAAGGGCTTAGGAAGCTTTCAGTCATGGTAGAAAGGAAGGAGAGTAGGTGAGTGTTACATGGTGAGAGAGGGAACAGGAGAAGGGGGAGGCCCCAGACTCTGTGAGAACTTACTCTTTACCATGAAGGAGGCACCAAGCCATTCATGAGGGATCCACCCTATGACCCAAACACCACCCACCACGCCTCACCTCCAACACTGGGGGTCACACTTCAACATGAGGTTTGGTGGGGACAAATATTCAAACCATATTAGTAGATATCTTCAAGTAGATGTGTTTATTCACATCAGGAGTGCAAGGAGTTTATTTGGGAGGTGAAGAGAGCACCAGTAGGGGACTGGGGAAGTAAGACTGTGAAGGGGAAGCATCCCTAGAAGATTGGTACTATGGGTGACAGAGCTTAATTTCACTGGGGAAACTCCAAGAGCCAGTGTAAACTCAGACCTCAGAGTTCACGTGCTCCAAGGGTAAGGAAGCTGGGGTATTTATACACCTTTAGCCTCAGATGCTTTAGTGTAAGAACCCCCTGGAGCCCCACCCTAGAGGAAGTTCTGTTTCAGGAGGCTTGGGGTAGGGCTGGAAATTTGCATTTCTTATAAGCTCCCATTTGATGCTGCTGTAGCTGGTATGGGGAACTCACTTTTGAGAACCACTGGGTTAAGCAACCACGCCTTGAGCCCTCTCTGTGAGTCCCATTTTAATGGTTCACATCTCAGGTCTACGTGAAGATGTTCAGTGAGTAAGGAAATTGGGAGGAGGAAGTATTTGGTTCAGCCAGATCATAAATCAATATCCATTCATCTTCCTCCACCTCTCCCACATGCCTAGGGAACCTGGAGTTGATATTAACACCATCTCCCTCTTTTCAGTTCCTGGTTCCGTTCTCTGTGTTTTCCCCAGGCCAGAAATCTCTTCTCTTGAACTAGAAGAGGAATCTAATATTTTTCATTTCATTGAGATGTTCTTTGTAACTGGTATTATCGAGTTTTGTAAATGTTCTACATCTCTTTAAAAAGACCCCCACACACTGTAATCATGGAATTGAATTCCTGCCAGACATCAATTTTGTGTATTCCGGTAGGCTATGAGTTTTTTTTTTTTTTTTTTTTTTTAAGTCTTTCTGATAATGGTATTTTAAAATCTCCTTTTGTAAAGACTCTTCCTTCCTGTGTTCCTAATATTTGTTTTCTGGTATCTTGTCAGTTTCTTTGGTAACTATAGATTTGTATCTGCATGGCTTCATTAATAGCGATGGTTGTTACCATTATGTAATGCTCTCTTTATCTTAAAAGCATATCCTTCTTTTGTCCTGAATTTAGTTCTTCTTACTATAATATTGTTGTTCTTGCTTGCCAGCTCGTGTTTGATTAAAACATTTTTTTCCAGCTTCACAATTTTGTTTCCTGATCTTAAAAGTAATGCGTGCTCTTTGTTGCAAAAATTCGAATGTATCAAAAAGCAAATATAATTGGAAAAAGTAAATACCGAAGAGACTAACCAGAGGCAACTGCTCATTCGCCCATATCCTCACCCTCTTTAATGCATATTTTG